TAATCTTAAAGCCAGTAAGAGAAAAGCAATCTGTTACCTACGAAGGAGCTCCCAGAAGGCTGTCTGCTGATTTCTCATCAGAAACTCTACAGGCTAGAAGGGAATGGCATGAAGTATTCAAGGTAATGCAAAACAAGGATCTGAAACCAAGACTACTCTATCCAGCAAGGCTATCATTCAAAACAGATGGTGAAATAAAGAGCTCCCCAGACAAAAAAAGGCTAAAGGAGTTTATCACCACCAAACCAGTATTGCAAGAAATGTTAAAGGGACTGCTGTTAATAAGAAGCTGAAATAGAAAGAGAAACATAGGCACAAAGAAATAAAATGGCAGTAAATCAGTACCTACCAATAATAACCTTAAATGTAAATGGATTAAATGATCCAACAAAAAGACATAGGGTAGCTGAATGAATTAGAAAACATGGCCCAAATATATACTGTCTATAACAGAGACTCACCTCAGAACAAAAGACTCACACAAGATGAGTGAAGACATGGAAAAAATTTGTCCATGCAAATGGAAATGAGAAAAAGCTGGGGTAGCAGTACTCATTTCTGACAAAATAGACTTCAAAATGAAGACCATAACAAGAGAAAAGAAAGGTCACCACATAATACTAAAGGGATCAACCCAACAAGATATAACTCTGGTAAACATATATGCACCCAATATAGGAGCACCTAAGTATATATTAAAAAAAACTTCTGGAGGACTTTAAGGGAGAGATCGACAGTAATACAGTCATAGTAGGGGCTTTAATATCATACTGACTTCACTGGATAGATCTTCCAGACAAAAAATCAACAAGGAAACAGTGACTCTAAGTGACATACTAGGTCAGATGGATTTAATTGACATTTACAGAACATTTCACCCCAAGCTGCAGAATATACATTCTTCTCAAGTGCACACGTGTCATTCTCCAAGACAGACCACATGTTAGGACACAAAACAAGTCTCCACAAGTTCAAGAAGATTGAAATCATATCAAGCATCTTCTCGTACATTTACACCATAGAATACTATGCAGCTGTAAAAATGAAGGATCCCTTACCCTTTGAGATAGCACAGCATGGTGAGGCCTGGAGAGTATTATAATAAGTCAAATAAGCCAGTCAGAGAAAGACAAGTATCACATCACCTCACCTATATGTGGAATCTAATGAACAAAATAAACTGACAAACAAAAGAGATCCAGAGACATAGAAGCATAGAACAAACTGAATCTCAGAGGGAAGGGGCGAGACAGAGGAGGGAAGAGATTAACCAAAGAATTTATGTGCATATATGCATAATCCATGGGCACAGACAATAGTGTGGTGAAGGCCTGGGGAGGGGGCAGGAGTGGGGTGGAGGGGGTCAATAGGGGGAAGAAAGGGGACATCTGTAATACTTTCAACAATTTTTTTTTTAAAAAGTCACCTGTATGATCACCAAAGGTTACAACCTCTGAAGCAACAGAGTTAAGGAAAAGACACCAACTTCTGAACACAATGTTCTTCCAAAAGATACTGGAAAACAAACACACGCACACAAATGAACCCCTGCAACTATGGAGGATCCCCAACCATCATCATCATCATCTGCTCCTGACATCCAACTATCAAACTGTCATGGTTCGATAATTCGGGATCATTCGAAGCAGATGATTCTCCTGATGTGCTGTCATAAGGTCAGTAGCAGTCTAATGCAATATCACAATGCTTACATCATTCACCTCATTTCATCTCATCATGTAGGCATTTTGTCATCTCACATCATCACAAGAGTCACTACAGCACAATAAGTTATTTAGAGAGGCCACATTCCCATAACTTTTTTTACAGTATATCCTATAATTGTTCTATTTTATTAGTTGTTGTTAATGCCTTACTATACCTAATTTATAAATAAACTTATCAAAGGTATATATGTACAGGAAAAACATTAGTAAACATATATGCAGTTTGGTATTATCCATGGTTTCCGATATCCACTGGGAGTCTAGGAACATTTACCTTGCAGATAAGGAGGGACTACTGTACTAAAATTCACACACCCCTCTAACTACAGATGTGATCTGGTGGGTTTTGGCAGGAGGGGATTGAAAAAATTATGATTTAATTTTTTTTTGGATTAGAAATGAATAAGAAACTAGACTCGTGACAAAAATTGTACCTATAAAAATAATTTGCCTGAGGGAAAATACCTGAATTTGTATGCACATTATAATATTGATTCAGAATATATAGAGATTAAATAGATAAAATTACACAATAACCTAAAAATCCATAATTACAATAAGATTCTCATGTATAAACTCAGGAAATAAAAAACACAATAATATTTCTAAGCATATGAGTATCTGTTAAACAGTTAATAAAATGTTTCTAAGAAAAACTACAGAAGCATTCATTGGAGGAAAAAAGCACAAACTTTCTTTCAATCACGTACAATAAAAAATAACTGAATGTATATTGAGGGACTGAGTGCAGCTCTGAGTAACAGGAAACACCCAGAATCTGCCTGATATGAGGCAGGTGCCGATTCTCACATGGAAGGACTGGCTCAGAGCAGTCACTGCACATGCAGCAGAGGAACAAATTCCCACATGGCTCTTTTTGACTGCACCACTGCAGCTGTCATTGTGGAATCAGGAACACATAGTCACTAGTGGCATTAACAGAACAAGGTATTTATTATACAAATTAGACCCTAGAGAAATACAATCTAGAGAAGAGTGGAGTTAGTGTTTCAGAGAACACTCCCAATGATGAGAGTCTATACTTATTGCCTGGTAGACACATGAGGGCTTGCAGGAGAATTCAAACTGAACTGAATCTTTAGAGTTGAACTTTGGAGACAGTTGTAGAAGTCAAAAGGTGAAATCAAACAGAAGTTAAGCAGTGACTGGTGGTTTTGAATATAAACTACAGTTTATATTCAATATCATTATTATTATTATTTGTTAAATATATCTTTATTGATTTCAGAGAGAGGAAAGGAGAGGGAGAGAGAGAGAGATAGAAACATCAATGATGAGAGAGTCATTGATCGGCTAGCCCGCAACCTGGGCATGTGCCCTGACCGGGAATTGAACCCTGACTGCCTGGATCCTACCTAGGTCGATGCTCAACCACTGAGCCACGCCCGGCCGGGCTATATTCAATATTATTTTGTATTAGTTTCAGGTGTGCAGCACAGTAGTCAGTCAGTCATATACTTTACAAAGTATTCCCCCCGGTATTTCCAGTACCCACCTGGCACCATACATAGATAATAGAATATTATTGACTATGTTCCCTATGCTGCACTTTACATCCCCATGACTATTCTGTAACTACCAATTTGTACTTCTCAATCCCTTCACCTTTTCACCCAGTCCCCCAACTCTCTGGCTACCACCAGTCTACGCTCTGTATCTAGAGTCTGTTTCAATTTTGTTTATTCATTTATTTTGTTCTTTAGATTCCACATGTCAGTAAAATCACATAGTATTTGTCTTTCTCTGACTGACTTATTTCACTTAGCATAATACCCTGTAGGTCCAGGGTATTTGACAGAGAATGATATGATTTCATTCTTTTTATGGCTGAGGAGGATATTCTTGTCAGAGCAAAGAAAGAGGAAAATGGTCTGGAAGCAAGTGTTTGCAAAGGCCCTTTGCATCTCTTGTTTTATTTATACAGGTGGCCCTAAAACCTGCCTAATCCTATTTCTCTCCTGTGTTCCAAGTTGCATGTAAGATAGGCTTTGGTGAATTCTAACATGGTACCAACAGAGTCTAGAAACTGTACTTCACAACATTACTCAAGGAGGCTCATCTCCAACTCTAGATTTTATTGTCTTATCATAGGTCTCTCTTTTTAATGCAAACTCCATAGCCCAACCAGAAGGAATCAGAAAGAATGAAGGACGACAGATGAAAACAATTCATGAGACTATACTCTATGAAGAACTTTGCACTCTTACAAATTTATTAAATGGCAAGAAAAACAAAATAAGGCTATTCAGGCAAATAAAAAGGTAGTTTTCTATTAAAGAAAGATGGAATATATACATATATATGTATACACACACACGTATACGCATGTATACACACATGCACGTGCACGCATGCACACACACACACACACACACAATATATATATAAAAGGATAAAACATATCCAGTACTTGTTACAGAAGGCCAGTAGGGGGAAAAACCCAACCAAAATGCTATTTTTTTTCAATAGTCCTATTCTTATAGATCAATTACAAAATTATGTAAAAATTAAACCTACTGGCATGTTAGAAATACACTTCAATTCACCCATGGATCTACAGAATTACCTCACTTCAATATTTACTTGTAAAAGTAAGTAGAACTCCACACTACAGAGAGAATTACTTAAAAATTAAGTCAGTGCCCGGCCGGGTGTGGCTCAGCGGTTGAGCATCGACCTAGGATCCAGGAGGTCGCGGTTCGATTCCCGGTCAGGGCACACGCCCAGGTTGTGGGCTCTATCCCCAGTCGGAGGCGTGCAGGAGGCGGCCAATCAATGACTCTCTTATCATTATGTTTCTATCTCTCTCTCTCCCTCTCCTTTCCTCTCTCTGAAATCATTTCCTCTCTCTGAAAGATTTTTAAAAAACCTTTAATTTTTTAAAAAATTAAGTCAGTAACTATAAGAACATATATATGTATAACCTTTACCACATTTTTTTCATATTGTTGAATTTCTAGCATATCCTACATGAATTAATTTTCAACAGGCTACCCATACTAGTTACATTAATATGATTTATTTCCAATGCAGTTTTCACATCACTTTGAAAACATTTGTTAAAATTAACCTTATTTTTTTCATTTATACAATTTCTACCTAGTATTCATTCTCACATGATTTTGTAGGGATTTGAGACAAATGAAGGTTTTCCTATATTATTTGCATTTAGAACTTTTTCCACTGCGAGGTTTTTTGTGTGTGTGGCTTCCCGAAGAAATGAGACAGCTAAAGGCTTTTTCACATAAGGTATCTCTCCAGTGTGCATTCTTACATGTCTACTAAAGGCTTTCACACATTCTTTATATTCATAGACTTTTTCTTAGGTATGAGTTCTTTCATGATTTCGTAAAGAACTAGGACGACTAAAGGCTTTACTACAATTTTTACACTGATAGGGTTTCTCTCCAGTGTGAGTTCTTTCATGTGTTCGCAATGAACTAGGACAATCAAAAGCTTTCCCACATTCCTTACATTTACAAGGTCCATCTCCAGTGTGCTTTATCATATGTCTTTGAACATTGGAAAGAGAAATGAAGGCTTTCCCACATTCCTTACATTCATAGGGTTTCTCTCCACTATGAGCTCTTTCATGTTTTTGAATGGAACTGAGGTAAGTGAAGGCTTTCCCACATTGCTTACATTCATAGGGTTTCTCCCCAGTATGACTTCTTTTATGTTTCTGAAGGGAACAGGGAAAACTGAAGGCTTTACCACATTCCTTACATTCATGAGGCTTTTTTCTAGTATGAGTTCTTTCATGATTTTGAAGGAATCTGGGAGTACTGAAGGATTTGCCGCATTCCTTACATTCATATGGCTTTTCTCCACTATGTGTGCTTTCATGATATTGAAAGTAATTTGGGCAATCAAACACTTTTCCACACTCTTTACATTTATAAGGCCCATCTCCAGTGTGTTTCATCATGTGTCTTCGAAAGTTGGTAAGAGAACTCAAGGCTTTCCCACATTCCTTACATTCATAGGGTTTCTCTCCAGTATGATTTCTTTCATGTTTTCTAAAGTAACTTGGACAACTGAAGGACTTCCCACATTCCTTACATTCATAGAGTTTCTCTCCAGTATGACTTCGCTCATGTTTTCGAAAATAACTTGGACAACTGAAGGCTTTACCACATTTTTTACATTCATAGGGCTTTTCTCCACTATGTCTCCTTTCATGACTTCGAAAGGATCTGGAACAACTGAAGGCTTTACCACACTGCTTACATTCATAGGGTTTCTCTCCAGTATGAATTCTTTTATGTTTTCGAAAGTAACTTGGACAACTGAAAGCTTTGCCACATTTTTTACATTCATAGGGCTTTTCTCCACTGTGACTCCTTTCATGACTTTGAAAGGATGTAAAGCAGCTGAAGGCTTTATCACATTGCTTACATTCGTACGGTTTCTCTCCAGTATGACTTCTTTCATGTTTTCGAAAGTAACTGGGACAACTAAAAGCTTTACCACATTGCTTACATTTATACGGTTTCTCTCCTGTGTGAGATATTTCATGAGTTCTACAGTAACTGAGACAACTGAAAGCTTTACCACAGTGCTTACATATATAGGGTTTCACTCCAGTGTGAATCCTTTCATGTCTTCGAAAGGATTGGCGATACTTGAAGGCTTTCCCACATTCCTTACATTTATATGGCTTTTCTTCATATTCCTGATAATCATATGGTTTGGGTGTACTGTGAGATCTCATATGCCTACTAAAGAATGAATGATTCATGAAGACTCCACATACACTGCATTCACATAGTTTTAGTCCAGTAGAAGTTTTCTTTTTCTGATTGTGATTTGGAATCTGGTTGAAGTTTTCTCCATACTGACTACCTTGTTTACTTTTACCCAGTCTCTCTATTATATGACTGCTGTAAAAAGTGAAAAGCATATTATTAATATCTTATTTATTAATAATTTTACCATAATCAAGGAAACTATAAGTTTTCAGTGCTTTCTGACTGTTTGAAAGTGCTAAATGTTTTGCAAGAGGGCTCAATCATAACTATTATCAAAACAGTGTATTCATAAGTGAGGTTTCAAAATACTATTTCCAAATGTGCTAATTTTGAAACACTAAACATCTAAGTCACATGTGAGAAAAAAAATTATGATGAAAATATTGTAATAATAATAAATAACTTTAAAACTTGGCTGATCTGTTTTATGTGCTGTTTTAAATATTTCATTACATACTAAGATTCATGGGACACTGCCTTCTCATGTGAGTGTGACTCACCTCAAATCTGTCCCATAATTTTCATAGTGATCTTCAATGTTATGATCTTTACATATTTCTCCTAAAATGCAGACCAGGAAAAATTATAAACTATAAAACCTCATAGGAAAAAAAACTAAAACAAAAAAATAATAATAAAAGAAAGAAAAAGAACTTATAGAAAAACTGTTACATAATAAATCCATGATGAGCTGTGACTATGACTGGTTTATTTACCAATGCATTCACTTTCCACATTCCACTCCTTGGAAATCCATTGATGAGCAAGCAGCACTGGTTTTCTAATTGACTAAACAAGTAAGTAAGAATGTTGTCATCCCTACCTACTGAGGCCAAGTTCCTGAAGGTTTCCCTCATCACATCTCTGTAGAGTTTCTTCTGTGAAGAATCCAGTAAAGCCCACTCCTCCAGGGTGAACTTCACACTCACATCCTCAAAGGCCACTGAGTCCTAAAACATCCCAAATATGTATACAAGAGAATGGGTGAGATGAACGGCACTAGAAATTGATATTCACCTCATAACAAGTTCACACATGACACTGGATTCTCAACATTTGTTTTATGACTTTGTTGTCAGAACTATTACTATCGGTCCACATTCACTTCCTCATAAATTTAACAACGTCATGAACACATGGAATTTATTACTATCTTTTTCTTGTGATCACATCAGTATTCACTGCTGTCTCATGTTAGGATACAAAGCATCTTAGGGAAATGAGAGAAATGCTATACAAATGAGACAAATACTCCCATTTTAAGCACATTAATACACTGTGAGAAAAACTTTTCATATCCTTCTTTAATACCCACCATATAATGCATCACTCCATGAAGCACAGCATCATATCTGCACGAGCTCATAATGAATAAAACACAGTGAAGAACTGGAAGCTTTTTCTTCTAATCATCAAATATGAGAGGCCAGGAGGGCTGTGGAATCCAACTTGGAACAAGATCCAGTAGGCAATATTATTCTAAAGGACTCTATAACATTAGAAGTATTCAGATCCAGTTGGCTGAATGAAAATACTCTTGTGAAGCAGAATGAATTATAATTGGTTTGTAAAATAAATATCCCAATCAGTTTTACCTTCTTTTCTCTGTGTCATTTCATGGGGCTAGGAAATTATTTGGAAGATACAGCTCAGACATGAGGAAGAAGGCATGACAACTTAGACATCTCCCAAATCCCTATACCCATGAGCCTCAGGGTTGCTTCCCACCAGTTTTTAGGATACACAGGCACACACACTGAGATGATAATATCACAGAGAAGGTCTTCCCAGCAGAATCAAAACACTGTAACCTAGGGTTTGATGACCTTGAGGGACAGGTTAAGACTCCAAGGGAGTTCACTGAAGTCCACAAGAGTTTTATAAATTTGTATATGATTATAAAATACGTAGTGTCCAACAGTGCTTTCCTCCAAAAACATAAAATCCCCTTTCTCTAACTTCAGCAGCAAGTGATACTCAACCAGCCACTCTAGAGCCTCTCCTCACAACTTCTCTCATTTCCAAGTTCCCATGTAGGAACAGCAGCGTGACCACCCATTCCCTTGAGCAAAGGGAACCCAAGTGGTACAATCCCCCTAAATGCTGGTCCCTGAAAGAGATAAATAACCCATGGATGTCTATGTGTAGGGAACAGAGAAAAGGCTCCCACTCATCAATTCTAATACAAAAAACTGATCTATTCAGTAGAACAACAAAATAGGAACACCTCTCTTGTGAGCCCAGGGAGTAAAAGGAACTATCTGGCTCAGCCCTAATTACTCTTTCTGCAGTGAAACTGTAGTGCTTACTCATAAAAAAAGTCCTGCTACCTAATGTGCAGAAGACAGTGAACATCAGCAGGGCCAAGATTACATATCTTTACAAACTCTGTCTAACAAAGTTTGTCTTTTGCTGGTATATGGGAACTGAAATTTCACTAGTGACCCCAACATCCTCACAGATAATAATAGTGCCTCAGTATGGCTAAAGCATTAATGCAAACAATATGGCATATAGTAAACTCCTGTTCTTTTGAGAATCTGTAATTTACATTTGTCAGATGCTGCTCACATAATTAGCCCCCAGCAACACTCTGGGCACTGAGTCTCCACTGAGCTTCCCTGGTAGACAGTAATTCACATTTCTTGTTTGAAGAACTGAGTCCATCCTGTGTGACTGATTACATTAAGAGACAACATCTGAATCCTTGCTCCTCAGTTCCTCCACACTAAATTAATTCAGTAGCAAACAAAACTAATGAGTGTTTAGTGATCAAGTAAATTTAAATTTTTTTCTTGGGTAACACCAGATATCACCTCTCTCAAATAATACCTTTATAAAATTTCATGAATTCCCAAAATAGACCCAGTAGGAGGTACAAATGTCCAAAAATGGACAAAGTTTTCTACAGAACAAAGTGGCAGCCTACCTAACATACACCAAAGGTTTTTAAGCTAGTACTCCAGACAGTACACTCTTACTGATAAACAAAAAGACCGAAAGAAAGGAAAGGTTCTTCCATGGGCTAACATTTAATATAAAGAGTTGGTCAAGGACAGAGAGGGCATTGTAAAGCAGCAGCAAACATAAGGAACACTTTATAACCTAGGCCAAGGGAAATCTGTTAACCAACCTGAAGAAATGTATTGTATTCCTCTTTATTCCAAGGACAATAGCCAATTCACTGTAGATTTAAGTGTGAAAAATGAAACTAGGCCACTTTTAAAAGTCATATAGTGATGCAAATATAGGAAAATTTTCTTATATAAGAAAAAGAGAGTGGTTTCCGAGGTGGTGTGAGGTAGAGGAGGGCTCCAAATGGGTTGCAGCCGCAGCTGCTCCCCGTGGAGGGAGCGGAGGTGGTCCCGGTCTACTTCCCCAGACAGAGAATGCAGGCTCTGAGATAGGTCCTGGTCGAGGGAGAGAGACAGGAGGAGGAGTCACTCTCGATCCCCACACAGAAGACGCTCCAGATGATGACATGATATTGTACATAGAAAACCCCAAAGACTCCATCAAAGTACTACTAGATTTGATAAAGGAATTTGTCAAGGTAGCTGGATACAAAATCAACATTAGGAAATCAATGGCATTCTTACACACCAANAAAGAACTCATAGTACTCAGCAAGAGTAAGACAAACAACCCAATTAAGAAGTGGCCAAAGGACTTGAATAGACACTTCTCCAAAGAGGACATACGGATGGCCTAGAGACACATGAGAAAATGCTCAACGTCGCTAATTATCAGAAATGCAAATTAAAACCAAAATGAGGTATCACTTCACACCTGTCAGAATGGCCACCATCAACAAATCAACAAATGACATGTGCTGGTGAGGGTGTGGAGAAAGGGGAACCCTAGTCCACTGCTGGTGGGAATGCAGACTGGTGCAGCCACTATGGAAAACAGTACAGAGGTTCCTCAAAAAATTAAAAATGGAGCTGTCGTTTGACCCAGTGATTCCACTCCTAGGAATGTATCCTAAGAATCCTGAAACATTCATCAGAAAGAATATATGTACCCC